CAGGTCCACACTTCACCCCACAAGCCTTAATGACAACATTTAACACTGAGCTGGTCATGGCAGACTCTCCAAAGAAGCAGGATGGACAGAGAAAAACCACCAACAGAACATTGTCATAAAACACCCTACTTAAGGAAGAACTTGTAAAAAAGCCTCATGAACAACCTACTCATTGCACAGGTCAGGATTTGCTTTATGTCCCTTTTTCAGTACCAGCCCAGAGCAATGTATGAGGCCCAAGACAAACACTCATTAACTCACTGTGAACACCTAACACACACTCCTGAGCACAGAGTATTTTGTGAAGCACTGTCCATGATGCCAACCTGTAAAACATTCTGCCTTCTGCTGCACGAGAGGCACCTTCAGTATCAAAAAACCCCAAACAAATAAACCTTGCAGGCAACCTTTTTCTCCATACATGATTCTGTTTTCAAATCTTGCTCCTCAATGCACCTTCCTGTGACAGTACATGATACATCAGCCCATCTGCATGCCAGCTGGCTGTACTGATTTGATGCTAAAAAGAGTGTATTGATTGATTCCCAGACGAAGCCTCAGCCAACGTGTTTTGCAAGTGTTTGAGACAACGGCGTGATTCCTTCAGGCCCTACCTCCCTTGGGCTGACTTTGCAGGGAATGTAAGGCACAGGCTGAAAATGGCTTTGGGAACAACTCTATGGCTATGGTGCTGGATGTAGCTAGTCTTGGACCAATGCATTACAACCCATTACAGGTGGAAACTCACTGAAAAGGAAAGAGCAGAGAGCCCTATCTCTTGGAAAGACCCATCCTCAACTGTTTGACTGCTTTAAACCTCAAAATAACAATTTTGTTCCTTTCCAGTGTTTTCTTCATGCTATCACCTTCTAAAATTGGCAGATATTCACATTATTCGTATCTCATCTACTTTAGAAGGTGCAAATTCAGAGCTGGTAGGAGGAGGCAGCTTCTCCCCCATTGCACATCAACAGCAGAGGCAGAACTTGCCGAAGGATGAAGAAACAAAATGATCTTACAAGCTTTAACTTCTGTGACCTGCCCCCCTTCTGCATTTGATGCCCAGGGGTCAGACACATCTGGCCACTTCTCCCAGGCACAAATCCCACCCCTTCAAGAGTGGGTTCCAAGACAGGATGGGACATCATTCTCTTTGGTGATGTGCCAAACACTTTGGGCCACTTCCCGAGGAAGGACCCTGGGGCACTCACGTAAGAAGACCCACAAGCCAAGCTGAAATGCTGTCCCCCCTCTGCATGGACAGCAGCCCTGAGGACTTTTACCAGGGCACTTTCTCGTTCACTTTCCTTGGAAGGTGGCTGTCCTTCGCTGCTTTGGAGGCCTGTTGTGTAAAACTTTCCCAGGCTTCTAATCACTCTCATCACCCTTCTCCAAAGATGCTGGTGTCAGGGGTCCACCCACACACACATTGCTGCAGGATAAAGTCCTGATTGCTGGCAGAAAAACTTCCTGCCCCCTGTCCTGCCTCACTCCTTGCACACAGAGGGCTCAGAGAAGGACCTAAACAGATAATGCTCAGTTAAAACCTCAACTGCCAAATTTGAAACCTTGAGGAGGGACCAGCCTACATCATTTCTCAGCATCTCCTTCTGGTCAGGACAGCTAAAAGGACCTCTGTCAGTCCATACACCCCATATCTTTTGCATGTCTTTTTTTTTCCCCTTTCATTTATTTATTTATTTACTCCCCTCCCTCAAAGGCTTTAAGAAGCCACAATCACAGAGTGCCCACTGTCTGCATGGCTGCCCCCATGGATAACATCAGGGCCATGCTGGAGGTAGCAGTGGGGCTCAGCTGCCAGCTCTGTGCCCCCCTCTCCTGCCACCCTGGCCCTGTGCCCTGACCCCTGAAACAATGAGCTCTTCTGTTCCCCACTGCCCGCTGGAAACTCCAGTCTGACATTACGTGTGGTGGGCAGTGGGTGAGGCAGGCAGGGAAGGAGAGACGGGGGGAGAACACAAGCCTCAAGTCATCAATTCTCTTCTTGGGTCAAAATAAACGAGGTTTTCCCGGGAGCTTCCTATCTGGAAGGAGCTATTTAGGAACACCACAGTGACCCAGAATCAAAGGAGCTGTGTGCAGTGTTGATGGCATGGAAGTGGAGTGGCTGTTTTCTGCTGTCAATCAGCCAGATTTACATTTACAGAGGGGCATTTATGGAAGGGGCATGGAGAAGAAAAGGCTCTGGAGAGACCTCATTGTGGCCTTCCAGTACTTAAAAAGAGCTTTAAAAAGAGAGGAAGAGTGAATTTTTACACAGGCAGATAGTGATAGGAAAAGGGGGAAGAGTTTTAAACTAGAAGAGGAGAGATTTAGATTAGACGTTAGGAAGAAATTCTTTACTGTGAGGGTGGTGAGGCACTGGCACAGGTTGCTCAGAGAAGCTGTGGATGCTCCAACCTTGGAGGTATTCAAGGCCAAGTTGGATGTGGCTCTGAGCAACCTGGTCTAGTGGAAGGTGTCCCAGACCATGGCAGGGGGTTGGTGATCTTTAAGGCTGCTTCCAAACCACTGTGATTCTATGATCCTATGGTTTATTGTGCTGGCCCCTTCCTGTGCTGGATAGCTCTCAAACACAGCACCTGTGGGCAAGCAGTGTGAGAAGAAAGGAGATCTGGAGTTGCTGACATAGCCTCTACAAGAGTGGTAAGAGAGACTTTTAAATGGAGAGGCAACTATCAAAACCCAGAACTGAATTGCACAGCCAACCTTCCGTTTTCCAGGGGCACAGTTTCAAGCCAAGAGCATCCAGAGAGCAGTAAAACCACATATTTCCCCCTACAAATAAACAAAAAAAAAAGGCCAAAAGATCCTTAAATAACTATATGGATGAAGACCTGAAGAACAGATCGGTAGCAATGACTTAAAATCCCATTAAGCATCGCTGTTGAAATTATTATGAGATTAAAAAAACACAGACAAATGAAAGCATTGTCCAGCTCAACAGCAGCACATGGTACCAGAGCTCCCATGTATGTGCAACATAGCTCTTAAAAGCTGAATATTTAAAAGACACCCCAGTGATACCAGTAGAGAGGAGAGAAATGAAGATTTACTAGGCACTTTTGGAAAGAAGACATAATCCCTGGTTGGATATTATGTTAAGTGGCCAGAAAGTAGATTTAGCAAATCAACTTGCAACTTCTAGCAGCCACATGAAAGTCCATTGGCTTGTCCTGAAGGTCAATGAGGAACCAGAATGGGCGAGGCAGCAGCTGGGATCATCAGGAAAACTTAATCACTGCAAATCCATGAAATTCAGGAGACCGCAAATCTTTGACTCAAAATGTTATTTCCATCTTACCATATGGATGCGGGACCTGGAACTCCACCAAAGAAATGTCTAAATGCCTTCCAAAGCAAACGCCTTTGGAAAATACCAGGTTTAAATGGAATAAGATGCATAACAAGTACTGAAATGCTATTAGGGCAGTATCTTTGGTCCAGAAGACATGATGGAAATAGTTTGGATGTGTCCAAAAGGCGTGGGGAAGCAAAAGAAAGAATAAATAATAATTAAAAAAAAAAAACAACAAAAAAACCCAGAAGACAGTTCAGTCAATAGATTTTAATTTCTGTCAATAGATTGTTATTTCTGTAACAGAGAGAACAAACATACAACAGCATTTAAAAATTCAGAGACCATGTGGAGTCTGGAGTAGGCAGAGACAGAAAAGCTTTTGAAGCAACAGAAAAGAAGAAGCAATCTGAACACTTAATACAGAAATGTCTAAGAGCTGTTTTCAAGTGGTCCTGCCTCAAAACTAGATTTAAACTATAAATAAAAATGTCCCATTTCTGACCCAAGAGAGAACTTCCTACCCTGAACACACATAATTTTGGGGCAAGAATATTCACATTTGGATGGAGAAGTTCATTTCTAGGTATTAGTGTAATGCAGACAACCAGACTGATGCAAGATTTCCCAGATCAGAACCCTGCCCAGGAAAACTGCACAAGAACTCAGTAAAAAAAATAGGAACCAAATATGAAAACACAAATCCAGAGATGAAATCAGCTCCCCACTTCCCCCCCAGGTTGCTGGATTTAGTCCAGATTCATTGGAGAAACAGGCACCGCTGGCTATCTTACACAGCAAGAAACATATGCTTCCAGCACTCAGATTTTCCTCCTGTCCTTTAAAGGCACAGCTTGCAGGCTAAAGACAGCTAAGAACATTTTTTTTGACCAAAGATGCTTCTAAAATATTTTTTTTTAAATTTTAAACAGAGCACGTATTTAAATTGCTGTATGAGTAGATATGATTGATGACATGTGTGGGATGGCACTGTGCAGGCTTGCACACTGACCTTGAGGAAATCCTCTTTGTGCATTGCAAGGTCGTGGCAGGCACGCCTTGGTGCAACTGTGTATGCCTGGCAGCATGCAAATGCTCTGGATCTCTTCTTAGGGTCTCAGGTCTATTTTCTGTGAGTCCACACGATGAATATTTGCTTTTTCTGTCACTAATCACGAATAAGCAAGAAAAGTGATCATAGAATTACAGAAGATCCTGAGCTGACAGGGACTCACAAGGATCACTGAAGTCTAACTCCTGGCCCTGCACAAGACACCCCAGGAGTCACACCACGCACCCAAGAGCATTGTCCAAGTGCTTCTTGAACTCCACCAAGCTTGGTGCTATGAACACTTCCCTGGGGAGCCTGTTCCAGTGCCCAAACACCCTCTGGGTGAAGAACTCTTTCCTAACATCCAACCTAAACTTCTTCTGACACAGCTTCATGCCGCTCACTCCATCCTGTCACTGGTCACCCCAGAGAAGAGATCAGTGCCTGCCCCTCTGCTTCCACAGCAGTTTCAGACCACAGTGAGGTTTCCCCTCAGTCTCCTTTCTCCAGCTGAACAGACCAAGTGCCCTCAGCTGCTCCTTGTAAGGTTCCTCCTCCAGAGCCTTCACCATGTTCATGGCCCTCCTCTGGATGCTCTCTAATCCCTGTATCTTTCAAACACTGTGGCACCCAAAACTGTCCCCAGCCCTCGAGGTGAGGCTGCCCCAGCTCAGAGCAGAGCAGGACAATCCCTCCCCTGCCTGGCTGGTGATGCTGTGCCTGATGACCCCAGGACACGCTTGGCCCTCCTGGCTGCCTGGGCACTGCTGGCTCAGATTCAACTTTCTGTCCACCAGGAACCCCAGGTCCCTTTCCATGGCACTGCTCTCCAGAATCTCATTCCACAGGTTATCCATACATCCAGGGCTGCCCCATGACAGGTGCAGAATCCAGTACTTTCCCTTGTTAAATTTCATATGGTTGGTGATTGCCCAGACCTCTAATTTGTTCGGATCTCTCTGTAGGTCCTCTCTGCCTTAGAGGAAATCAACAACTCCTCCCAATTTATTAACATCAACAAACTTAATTAGCATTCCTTTGAGTCCTGCACCCAAGTAATTTATTACAACGTTGAAGAGCACTGGCCCTAAGACTGAGTCCTGCAGAGCCCCACTAAAGATCAGGCACCAGCCATACTCTACACTGGCTCCATCTATAGATGGAGTTCACTCCCATGTTCACTGCCAATTTGCTGTGGTTTAACCCATGATAACCACATGATAACCACAAAGCTGGTTTCACTTGGCAGCAAGGTGGAGAAGCTACGCAGAATGGCAGCAAAAGGTCTTTCAGCTCTACTGCTGCTCTACGGGCACTCTGAATTAAATAAAAATCTCTCTCATTTCTTCTACCTCCTGAGATACATTTTGTCACCACTGTAAGGTGCTGAAAGATCCACCTAAGCATTATGATAGACTTTAAAGACTTTAAAGGAATACTGAAAGGAAGTGCCATTTATATTAAAAGCAGTAATTTCCAAACCTTTTGGATCAACTCATCTTAGAGAGACCCTTGATGACCTTGGCACCCTCATCATCCAAATCCCTGATATGTTTTATGTACTTGTCTGCAATCCGTTTCCACAGCTTCACACATCCTTGTGTGCAGCTCGGAAACCAGGGGCTTCCAGGTAGAAACCACAAAGCCAGGGTGAGTTTCCAGTTGTGAGATTGACCCTGAACACAAGTGCAGCCAATTCACTGATTTGCTCCGTGCCTTGGTTTCTGCACCAAACCAGACCTTTCAGGGCAGATGTGGTCTCCCCAGACACAGCACATGGAGCCCCAGTCACCTCAGCTGCTACTGTAATACAGACAAATAATTTTTGTTCTGCCTTTGAGTCACTACTATAAATTATGTGCTTCGGTCTGGTAAACACTTTTGCATCATGTCTTTCATCTGTTAGTTGCTAAACGAAAAAGGGGAAAAAATTGTTTCAGTATCACTTCTGCTCTCTTTCAAAGAGAAATGAGGCCAGCTTCCTCACACACTTTCCTTAAGTATTGTTTGCCTTTCTTAAGTTCAACCTGTGCTTTGCCATCATCAATCTTTTACAGCCACTGTGGACTGCCAGGACAATCAGCCAACTCTGAAGTCGTGACAGATAGCTGAGGATTCACTCAAGCTGTCTTGGCAAAGCCAAAGTACCAGGAAAATAAACCAGGTTCACCCCCCAGACAACACACCCTTGTGGGCATGTCCACCTCAATTGATGCAATGCCTCGGAACACACACGGGTTAGTCCTGACCAAACCAGTCTGGGTTTCAGCAGCTGGAAAGAGCTGCCCCAGCACGTGTGTTGGCAGCAAACAAAACCAAGACCATCCACCTTCACAGCTAGCTGGGCTACAACAGCTCTACTGCTTCTGAGACTCGTGGCTCCACATTGCACCTTACAGAGGTTTAAGAAATGTTGGGTTAGAGGCACCTCAGGAGGTTTCTAGTCCAGCCTTGCACTTGAGGTGCCACTAGATCAGGTCAGCTGGAATTTTGTCTAACCAACTCTTGAAAACCTCCAAAGACTGAGACCCTGCAGCCTCTGTGGGAACCTCTTCCTTTACACCATGACCCTCTTACTGGAGGGGCTTTCCTAAGACCTAACCTGAATCTTCAAAGCTGGGTTGTGGTTGTTGCTCCTTATTTTGTCACCTTCTACAATTAAGAAGAGTTTGATTCCATCATTCTCACAACTATCCTTCAAGTATCTGCATGTTACTAGATCACAATTATCATGACGACAATACCTCACCGCCTGACTGTTTCCAGAAAATGCTACAGTGGACAAAGGAATGCAGCCCCACACTCAAAAAAAATGACCCCAAAAGGAGGTTGTAGGGTAGAGGTCGTGTGTTTTGACTCACCAGCAATGATGCAGCAGAGAAACAAGTTAGAGAGCGGGACCTTTGTGCAGCATTGCACAAGAGAGCTGGTGTAGCAGGAGTGCTGGCAGGCACTGCCTTTGCAAGCAAAATGCACCCCCTGACCTGCAAAACCTTCTCTGGTGGAGCAAGTGTTCATCCCTCCTCTGAATCATGGGGCAGATGACAATAGCTAAAATATATGATGGTCTTTTGGAATCAAGCTGGGAGATTACATGGGAGGGGCAGGGTGCAGCAAGGCAATTTGACAGATGGAATAAGTGCAAACTCATGGAGTTCAGTGCAGTCAAAACTTTCTACAAAGAACTTGTCAGAGCACTTCCCTGAGTCCCTCCCTGCATCCAGGCTCAAAATCTATAAATTCACCTAAGCCAGCACTGGAAGGAACTTTTGGAGAATTTGTCAAATTTATTCCACTGCCTCAAAACAGATTCAGCTCTCTGAAGTGGAGTTTAGCCAACCTGCATTTCAGAACTGCCACGATGGAGTCTCCAAGCCCATCCCAAACCATCTGTTCCACTGCTCCACTCCTCTGGAATCAGAGGTTAGGAAGTTTTTCCTAAGCTTGCTTCCCTTGCTGCAGTTCAAGTTCAGCACTTCTTGGCCTCCAACCACCAGCCATGGAGAACAGTTTACTCCCTTCCCCTTCACAGCTACCTTTGGCATATTCGAGGTCTGTTATTTCTCCTCTCAGCCCTCTCATCCTCAAACAACCCCATTTCCTTTAGTCTTTCTGTTTTCTATATTTTTGCTCATTTTTTGTTGATTTTCTCTGGCGTTTCTGCAACTATTTCCTACTTTTGTTAGCGGGTAGAGCATCCCAAATGAGGCATGGCACAGCTGAGTATGAAAGCGACCAATTAAAACTCCTAAGAGAAAAGAGGAAAATAAAGGAGATAATTTTGCTCAATACCTATCTTTTATACTTTGCTGCAGAATAAAGAGATGATCTTTCTTCTCCCTCCTACAAAATTTAATCCCAAACTCCACTTGGCCAAACTCCACTGTGCCAAACTCCACTTGGCATCTCCACCACTTGACAGCCTATATCTCTGCACTAATAGTCCTACTTCAGTCCACATCCCACATTCTCATTTAAGGAGGACATTTTTACAAGGCATTTTCAGGTGGAATATGAAGGATCTACTTCAGGAACCAAAATAAGCCCTTCACCAAGGAGTTGGCCCTAGGAATAGGGCTGCAATCTGTAAATCAGCCCTTTAACCTCTTCTTGCTTGCCCCGTCAGAGAGGAGCAGCTCTTCCAATGACCTTGATTAAACTGCTTTTGCTCGATGTAAGAATGACAGTGATGCACAAAGCCAAACCCAGTAAACCTGCTGGGAGGAAAAAAAAACCCCAAACCCACACCACTAAAGGACTGTAAAACTGGTACACGACGAGAAGCTTTTGTTTTAGTCAGAACTGCAGACATGCATCTCAGCCAGACACAAAATACTCTGACTTCATGGTACATAAATGAGCAGGCAGAGCACACTGATCTAACGATAGGGATCTGAGCTGCTCCACGACAGCACTTATTTTTCACAGTGCTTCCCTGCCAGACAGTCCACCCCCGAGCCCATCGTGCCGGGCAGCGGACAGACACAAAACACTGCTCTAAACCCACGTCTAACACAGGAGACAACAGACAGGCACGTCCAGCAGGAGAGGACCAGGAGACAGTGAGTCAGTACAGGACCAGCACAACATGTGCTGGTCTCGGCTCGCTGGTCACACAACTAAAGCCCGGGGTTTTGTTTAGGGATTGTTTTGGGGTTTTTTTAATTTAAAAAAAAATTTTTTTAAGGAAAAGGCAGAAGGAGAATTAAAAGATAGTTCTGTGCTTTGTGCCTGCATACAAGGAGACCCTTTCATGCATGAAAGTCAGAAAGGCAAAAGGTAGGAAAAGGCTTTTTAATAGGGTCTGTAGCAACAGGACATGGAACAATGGCTTTAAACTGAAAGAGGGCAGATTCAGACCAGACATGAGAAGAAAATTTTTTAAAATGGGGGTGATAAAACACTAGCACAGGCTGCCCAGAGAGGTGGTGGATGCTCCATCCCTGGAAACCCACAAAGCCAGGCTGAGGAACCTGGTCTGCTTGAAGGTGTCCTGCTCATTGCCAGGGGATTGGGATAGATTAGTTTTAAACCTCTCTTCCAACTCAAACCATTCTATAAAAATACAAAAAGTGTTTGTCTGAAAAAAAGCAATTAAGCAAGAGGACAAGGGAGCTTCTTCCCAAGAAGAACAGAGGTGAAAAGAGATATTTTGGTACTTCAATTACTTTTGACCTTCAATTGTTTTCTTAGCTTTTATTATCAATATTACAGTAGCATTTACAGCCAAACTGCCCAGTCTACATGAACCCCTGTCTGCAGTTATGAGCCTGAAAAAAGGTACACTTTGTCTCAACCTTTAAGCAGTCATCATTTGATCATTTGAATGTCTCTCAACAGAAGAGAAACACAATGCTGATATTTCCCAGAGTGGTGTACAGGTAAGTCCCACAATCTCACATAAACTCAACCCTCTGAAGTGAAACAGAGCAGGTATTGCTGTAAATGCAGATTAATGCTGCACAGATCAGGTGTGGAGAAGAGTCCCCTTTCCCAACCACCCCGGGTGGAAGTCAGAGAGAAAATTTAGTACCTTCCTCTCTTGCCATAGATCTCCCTGAAAAATAAAAGCAAAACAAAACAAAGCTTATAAAAGCACAGCACTTCAAGGACAGCGTTAGCAACACACCCATGTGCAGACACATACATTTGAAATGCACTTGTCAAAGAAAAAATAAATCTATCCTCTACCCTGTGTCAATACAGCCAGAGCAGGAACTTCAAACCCCATTAGCAGCATCCTGCAGCCTGAGATTTCTCCTTTGAGGTCTCAAAGCAGAATATAAACTGAAGGTATAGGAAAGTGGCAAAGGCAGAGATTCAACACCTTCCCTTTGAGGCCATACAAAAGCTGGCGTAGAGCGCCTTTCATGCACGAAAACCAAAGTCCAACCATGTGGGTTTATTGTGGACAAAGGCAGGTTTTATGGGAGGAAAGCCATCACCCTCAGGCTCTGGACCAGCAAGCTGCTCTGAACTACTCTGGAGGAGAACCTGATCCACACACCAACAGCCTGAATGCACACCACAGCTACACAAATACAGCATCAATAATAACACATTACAAAGCAAAGGGACGAGGCACCATCAAGTGAGACACAGTCCCAGCTAAAGGCCAACACTTTCAAATCCAGCCACCGATGCAGGAAGCTGCTGCAACTGGTGTGACTGGAAGGGAAGTCCCACTGACCACAGTGCCGGGACTGCTCCAGCGCAGAGATCCCCTCGAGTGACATCTGCCAAGCATCGCTTCCTGCCCCGCGGAGCCTGCGTGGGATGGCCGGGCACATCTCAGCAGGGCCGCATTTCCTCTGGGGGGAATGAGGATGTTTTGAAAACATAGGTGGCTTGCAAAGCACTTTGGGATGTATGTGGATGAAAAGCACTCTTATGCACATCGATAATTAGCACTAACCGCTGGCATGTCACACCCTCCATGTAGAGCATTTAGCAGATTTATTCAGCTCTTGCTGGAATGCCAGAGCACAAGCTGGATATTCAGACAGTGATGTGAGCGTCCTTTCACGGGGCAGATGCTGGGGAGCTAATGATGTTTGATGAGTTAAGGCCATTGGTGACTCAGGATCAGCAATTAGTTGATTTCTGCGGGAGGAAGGTGCTTTGCTCCATTAAGCTAAAAGCATCCTCCACAGTTCAGCATGCACAAAATCATTCTGTCCACCTCCCACAAAGACTGTCTACGTTCATTAGGGGGTTGATACTTCCCACGTAAACACTCATGTTTACCCTACTGGATTCCCTAGCAGTTCCATGCCACAGCCCTGTGCCAACCTGATATTCCCTGGAAGAGCATAAGGCACACAAGGGAAGGGTTGCCAAGAGCACTGGACACACAGTCTAATGCAAAGGATTGTGGCACCACTGACGTCTATGGGGCTGAACACATTTCGGGCAAGGCTAATAACACTCCATCACAAATCAGACACAACCTCAGTCCTGCTCTAGCCTGCAGTACAGGACTACAGACATCCATCTCCCTCTCAAGGGTAAGGCAGTGATGCTTCCATCAATCAATAACAGACACTGGGGAAACACCAGCTGCACTTGTTCTGCCTGCCATTCCCGAAATGCACGCAGGCAAAAGCAACAGGACCGAAGGATGATCTGGCTAGTGTCCCCCCAGGAAGAGAGAGCATCCAGCTCCCTCCCAGAGGCTGCATTCCAGTCATCTGAAGGCTGGCTGAGGCTGGTCACTGGTGTCAGGGAGTGGGACCCTTGACATCCCGGGGAGCGATGTGCCGAGTCATAGGACGGCAGCGCGTTTCTGAGCTCTAATGCTCGTGGCACATGGCAGGACTGTCAGGCGGAGGACGCAAAGAACAGTTATTTCTTTCAATGAGTGGGGAATGTGACAGAGCCGGCATTTGGACCCTCTTTTTACAACTTCTTTGAAGTGTTTGATCTCAGCCGCTAACGACACAAAGGCTATCGGAGCGCTACTGGTGCTATCTTCAAAGGGTTCGGACGTTCAATGATTAATAGGAACCCTGCGCGGGATGGGGGAGAGCGACTATTATGGGAACGTTGTGAGGGATCCAAGATGCGTTAGTACCTTTACTCCTCGGGACCAAGGTACTCCCAGCCTTCCCTAAAACAGACGACTTCAAAGGCGGGGGTGTGACCATCGCAGGTCCCGGGTGAGCCCGGCCACCGCGGGGCGCAGCCAGAGCGGCCCCAGCGCCGTGTCCGCTCCGGCCGCGGCCGTCACCGCCCACCCCACCGCCCCGGGGCACGGAACAAGCCGGGGGGCTCGGAGATGCTCCCACCCGCCTTCCCCGAGCGGCGGGGAGCCAGGAGCGTTCGTTCCCCGCCCGGGCAAGGGGCACCCCCGCCCTGCCGAGCTTCCGCGGCGCCGGGAGAGGCGGCGGCAGGTGCACCCGGGCTGGCGGCGAGGGAGCGGGGATGGAGGCAGGGGGATGGATCCCGGCTTTCCCGGGGCCGGGATAAGGATGAGGTGGGGTGGGCTGAGACTTACGTATCTCCGTAACTTCTTCTCCGGCGGTGACTTTCGGAGCCAGCCCGAGCACACCACCTCCCCGCCGCTCATCGCGGCAGCCGGGCGCCGCCGGGCGCTGCCTCCCGGCGCTCAGCGCCGGCCGCGCCGGCCCATGGAGGGCGGGCGGGGATGGGTGGGTGAGCGGACGGATGGATGGATGGATGGGTGGGTGGAGGGAGGGAGGGAAAAAGGGAGGGAGGGATGGAAGGATGGATGGGGGGGGGCGGCGAGCGCCTCCCCCCGCCGCCGCGGCCGCTCGGCTGCGAGCGGGGAAGCAGGAAACTGGCTCCTTCCCGGCTCACCACGCCTCCGCCCGCCCGGCGCCCCGCCAGCCCTGTTAAAGACACAAACCCCGCAGGGAGAGGGGCTGCCCGGCCCACCGCCGCCCCCGAGGGGCTGCCGCTCGTCCCCGCCCTCCCCTCACTCATACTGTGCCTATAGAGAAACTTTATCCATACTGCAGCAGGTGATCTCTAACAGCGCAACGTTTCCTTAATTAAAAAGTACAGTTCCCCCCAGACTTGTCCTCCGTAAGGTTTCATTACCCCAGGACCCCTCCCCTCTCTTGATGATCCTTCTCACCTCGGAAAGGCGAAGCTAGATTTAGCCTCGCTGTGCTCAGGAGCTTGTGCCTGAGATGAAGGTGCCATAGGAAAACAAAGAGGTTGAGCAAGAAACAGCCAAACTACAGTGATGCCAAAAACCCTCCTAGAGAATAAAATAGCAATGAAAAACCACGAGGGGAATCAATAAAAGCTTCGTATTTTATTATTGATTTTTAAGTAATGGAGCAGTGGCCGCTGAAAGGGGGATTTGACTGCCATTGGAGTCTCATGTAGACACGCCAGGTTTTGTATTACAGTGTATTATACCCTGGCTGAGATTCACTATCAACTTTCAGATCTAGAAACACTGTACATTTCAAAGCCTGATCCTCTTCTCCTCATCTCAGGCAGTAATAAAAGGTCCCTCCACAGCCCTTCGAGTTGGGTTATGCTCTAACGTTCCTTTCACTGAACCCTTTAAAGCAAAACTTGGGCATGGCACCCATAAAAGCTGAGTCCTCTTTGCCCACGCTCACGTGGAACACACAACCCATTTGCTAGGGATGCATTTCTAAGACCTGTGTCTGTACAACAGCTCTGCCCCAAACCTGCTCGGGCACATTCAGTCATCCCTGCCTCTGCTTCCCTGCCTGTCCAACCTCTGTGGGCAGGGATGGTCCCTCCTTACATGTTTGTGCTGTAGCTGGTGCAATAACAACTCCATGCTGGCTGGATGTGCTACTGTATGTCACACAACAACAACCTTTATATAACGCCGCTCGAGCAGGGATCTTGCATCACTTCAGAGCAGTAATTGCAACTTGCAGTGCCTCTGGGAGGTAGGAACAACACCTCTTTTCAAGATGGGGACAGCACGGTTAAGCCATATGTTGTTTATCATCTTTGTGAATGCATCAAGTAGGGGAATAACCCCTTACAGAACAAGTCAGTCATTTTTAGGAATGCATTTTCTCAACAGCTTTGTTTTTCTGCTAGTGAAATGCAAAGGCTAAGATTTTTCTACCTTCTCACTACCCAAAGGAAGGGCTTGATCCTGTTCCAGTACTGGGCAATATCTGCAGAGAGAGGCTATGCTCAGATCAGCTTGCCCACCTCTGCATGTGTAATAGGGCTAAGAGCAGGGGAGGATGGAAAGACCAGTTCTGTGCTGCCCTCAGCCAGCATCGCCTTATTCAGTGCACTGGAGCCATATCAATTTACACTGCATGAGAGCAAGAGTCTCACCTGCAAACTGTACTGGGTTAAAGGCACTTTGTGCATTTGTAGAGAAAACTCTGTCCTGGTGACCTGCACTCGAGAGACCTTCCCAAAACACACAGAAATTTCAGGGAGGCCAGTGAGCTATTGGGGATTTAGAAAGACTCAATTAAGATGATCCTGATTAATACACAGGTATCATGCAAAACTATTCCATGGTGTATGTTAATGATTCACAGGTAAGGAATTTACTCATACTGACACCAATGCAAAGCGGTATCAGTTTGAATACCAGTTGCAGAGAACTCTGTCAACATTTTTATGTTAACAACTTTCACCACACAGAGTTGGAACACTTCATTTGGGTGATGGATGTTTAAAGAAATGCTCCATAATTATCATTGTGTGAATTGGAATGAATTATTCTACATATTCTATGACAGCCCCTGGTATATTACCCTGCTCCCTTGCTGTACTGTTCCTTCTCTCCGCTAATCCCCTATTCTGGATCACATTTACTGACTTGGTTATATCACAAGATATATCTGAACAGTGTCTGAAACATGAAGTACCCCTGTGGATTCTTTTTTCCATGCTTTTGGTGATGCCTGGCACAGACATCTCAGATTGCTGGGACTTTTGGATGGGAAATGGGTTGCATTTTCTGTACATTTAAATATGCTGCTGTCTCAGATGTGACATAGAATCATAAATCATTAAAGTTGGTAAGTGCCTCCAAGATCATCAAGTCCAACTGTAATATAAGCTCTGTGCAGAAAAATGCTTCAAACAAAGATGCTGCACGTGAACGTGCCTCCCCAATTCCACTGTGGCTGTACGCAGAGTGGGAACAGTGAGTTAATTCTGGCATCAGGATGCCAGATTACATATCATCCAATGCATGTAACATTACAATGCCTTATAATGCTGGCCCTCCTTAAAGCTTTTGGCCAGGAAGATACACAAATACTACCCTCAGTGCCCCTGGGAGTTAAAGATGATGTCTGTCATGAGCACAGCTCGATTTGGCAGCGCCTGCACGCTCGTAACAGTTTTTACCAACTTCAAGCTGTTCCTCCAACCGGCAGTGGAGAATGAACTCAGGCTGGCCCCAGCTGACTGCGTAAATCTCTGGAGTGTGAGCTAACAGCCAGCAGCCTTGGCGGAAAACTGTGTGAAAACCACATCCCTGTGTTGGAAAAACCTGACGAGGGAGTTATGCGAAGCCATCGAGAATCCATCTCTGCCAGCAGAAGCAACTGAAGGAGGAACAGCAGAATTAGCAGGCATAGCAAGGGAGAAATTAAGAGATGCCATGTAAGAAATAATATTCCTTGAACGAGAGTAAGACTGAGAGAGAAACATTTTTTTAAGAAAAAGCCTTTGTAATGTCTTTTACGTGCTGGCTTGCACGACCAAGTGGCACTTTCTTCTCCAGAAACCTCTGGGGTTTTTAATCGTAATCTCCAGTGTGGTTTCTTGTTCATGTCTGAAACCGAGAAATCAGAACTTCTTAGAAAGAAACCACAATGTCCACCGCTACTCCTCCCTGCTCCAAATTTATTCAAATGAGCTGTGCCATCTGCTGGCAGACGGGAAAGCTGCAGGCCGAGCAATTCTCCTCGCTCCCAGTCAGTCGCTGATGCAAGCAGCCGGGATGGAGACACTGGGCGCTTCCTGTGGATTAGGGACCAGCTGGCTGAAACGCTCCGGGCTACTTACCCCAGCCAGGCACAAATCCCTTGGAAATGCCCTATACGGTGGTTAATATAAACCGAAACAGGCTGGCGGGGGCGGGGGGGCGGAGGGCAGAAGGAAAGGCTTGAAAAATCTGCCGTGATGCTTGGTGCTCCTTGCCTGCTTTTAATTCTGAGCGAATGCTCAGTCTCCTGAGATGCAGCTCCACAACAATAAGACCTGACTTTATCTTCACGCAACAGTTCCTGCAGCAGAGCGGAATGGGAGCAGCTTTTTGATTTCATGAAGAATTTTCAAGGTTAAAAAAAAAAAAAATCACCTCTTTCAACAACTCGAGCCTTTTCAAGCTTTCCACCCTCCATAGAAGAGTACAGTAAGCCCCCCAGAACGACTGCAATTGAAGCCAAACCACAAGACAGTCCTTTCCTTCTTGTGACAGACAGCAGCTCCAGCAGCACTGGCTGCTTTCCATGAGCAGAGGGAATAGTAGCACGAGGTGCTTTGATCAGATAATGAGACAGTTTGAAGTATCTTCAGTACAGTGTTGTGGCAAAGACAGGCATCAGAGCTCTGATGCCTTAATACAGGCTTGAAACAGAGAAGAGATGACTTGCAGTTCATCAGCGTTCAAGGCACATAGGCTTGCGTGGAATTGATGGTCCGACTTTGTCCTCTCTCTGTTGGGGATCCTGGCCAGAACCAGCACATGCCATCCAGAATGAATACGGACCCTCCTGGGCAACACAGGGAGGGGCCTGGGGTGCTGAGCTGGATGGTGTCTGTGGATGCAGCTGGAGGACACTTCCAGTCCTCACACTTATTAAAGAAGACTTCCTATTCATATTCAGTCCACACTGAAGCCCAGTCCTACTTCTCTCACCAAACTAGACACTAAGAAATAACTGCCTGGAATTGAGCTGGGACAGAACACTACTAATGCATTTCTCACTTCTGGACCCCGGTAGAATTTTTTTTGCACCTGTTGGTTCCTTCTAAGATCGATGAGGTCCTCATGCAAACTCTCTTGCCAGGATCCAGACACATTTTTGGCAGCTACCTTTACCTTTTTCTCCCCGCCCCACTTATGCTATTTTTACTACAGAGGGGAAGGAAACTAGGAGGTTTCCCATTTTTTTCTCACCTCTTCAAAACAGAAAACCATTATACAACTGCTTGGTGGAGAGTGCACTAGGCAATGCTCCAGACACAGACACTATTCTGACATAAGCATAAAGGCCACTTCATCTTTGTTTTTCCCCAGTGAGACCGGCAGCTCAGCATGGGAAGGACTCCCTCTATGGACACTATTTGGCACAATGGGGCTTTGACCTCAACTGGACCCAGGGCAAGCAACCTTAAAATAAATGATAATAAAACAGGCAGGAGAAATCTTTGTCGGGCTCCCCTGCCTGCTTACCCGACCCCGATGTACTCTCACATCCTTAGGCATAACTTCAAGAGCAGATGGTGCTCTGTGGTAGAGCAAACGAGCAATTATCCTCCTGACACCCTGCAAGGCCTCCCCACATGCAATTGCAAGAAGTTACTTCACCCCAAGCTAAGAGCTGTTGTCTGGCTTTTCAGCATAATTGGATGTAATCAAGTTTAATTTGGTTGGTGCAGTAACTCTGAAGACTTTTGTAACTGGAT